CCAAATAGCACTTAGATGTGTTGCTATTTCGCTCTTAATTATGATTTATGCATCCTTATTACAATGGATCCCATTTTTATAGATAGAAAGCAATTTTTCGTTAAACGATTCATATGACATTTTCAAAACTAAGCTAACTTTTAAAGCATGGTTGATCATCTGTTTTTTCTAATTTTTACTAATTTATTTTAAAGCAAAACAATAAAAGTTCCAAAAAATTATTTAGTAATGATTTTAAAAATTAGCTACTTAGTTTTTGAGAGTGTAATGTAATTATTATAAAAACAAGTTGAAATGTATATTTGATTTCAACTTTTTTTTTAAAAAAAAAGCATGAAAAGTAATACTTTTTGAAATTAAAAACTGCATATTTTACTTAAAAGCCAAAAACAACCTAAAGAACTTTAAATTACAAAAATATCAAAGCTGTATGCTTTACCTTGATTTATAGTTTCTATAATAATGCTTAAAAGATTATAAGTATGATGTTTTGATATATATATATATATATATATATATATATATATTATTCATGACTGCGACTTTCAATTTTTACGATAAAAGTTTTCATATTTCCAAATATTTTATTTTATTTTTTAATAAAAATCTTGAAATTATATTTTTAATAGTAATTTTAATTCAAACAGTACAACAATAAATTATCAAATATTCAAATAATTTTACTCGCAGTACAATTCATAATTTCATTATTAAATAATTTAATGTGTTTAATTTTATAGCACAAAATAGCAAGAGCCAAATAGGCTTATTAAATGCATTTTGAACTTCAATTTGAACCCCCTCCAATCCAAATTAAAAGAAACTAAAAAAGGTTAGGTTTTAAATAGTGATTTTCACTGTTCATCCCCTCCCAAGTCACTGTTTATAGACTGTAGATAAGGATGACATTTTTGTGTTTTTTTAGCTATTTTTGGAACTTTAAATTCGAAATTTATATCAATTTTTATTTTGGTCCCAAAGATTTTTAAATCAAGTTTTAATCTTTCGGACTGTTTAATCTGCTGGCCTTTTGCATTAGGCTATCGCATTGGGCCTTAACGCAGGCCTGCCTCCTCTTTTTATTTTCTTTGGGTTTTTTTTCCTACCAATTTATTTTTTTATTATTGAATTAGATGCGAAAATTATAAAAAAATCAATTACAATTTTTTTCTCTTATTTTTATTTTTTTAATTATTGAATTATTGATAAAAATTATGAAAAATTATTATTTTTTTTCACACAAGCTTACAGTTATGAAATATATATGATATGTTCTTATAATATAAGAACATATCATATATATTTCATAACTACCTGCTATATATATATATATCGGATTATATTATTGTTATTGTTAAAATTGATATCTTCAATTTGTCGTTTCTTATAAAAATTCTTATCATATTAATTTTTTATTCTTCTTTTTCTATGTAATTTTTTTTTAATAAATATAATTTATTTTCTCTTATGTATGGATTTTTTGAATATTTTTTTTAGTTTTTTTTTATTTGCTTAATTTTTATATAATCAAATTTTGAAAATAGAATTCACTTGTGGTTTATTTACTTATTCTTTATATAATCAATTTTTATCGAAATCAATTTTGTTGGTTTTTTTTTATAGCACCCTACAAACTTCAATATATTGTTTACAATTTTTTTATAAAAAAATTTGATTTATGCTGCACACTCTAACTTAATGAATACAATCATGATGTATAAAAATATATATTAGAGTTATTGATTTTATTGAAAATTAATTATATATCTATACTCAAAACACCAACCAATGCTATTATTTTTTTATATTTTAAAATTATTTCTTAAAATAAAATAATTAAAATGATGTTCTAGAAGCTACTCGTCTAATAATTTAAATATAATTTTTTATACTAATATTATTCATTATTTTATAAATAAATAAATAAATATAAATCAAATATACATACTTTTTTTAAAAAATATTCTTCTCATCAGTATTAAAAAAGAATAAAACAAATTATTTGTTAATTTTTGTATTGGTTTTTATGTTGTTTTATTTTTTAGATACAATGTTATGAAAAAAATATTAAAATATTTTTTAAAAAATTTTATATTTAGATTCATACAGATTTTTATTTAGGAATGAAGGCATAAAAAATAAATCATGTTTTTTAACTACAAAAAATATTTAAAAAAATGAATAAAAAAATAGATGTAAAATTTTGATTAAAAATTATAAAATTAGATGAAAGTTTATTTTTAATTTAATATATTTTTATTGACTGATAACATATATAATACATATTATAAAACTAAAATAAATATATTTAGCTCAATGTGTTGTAAATAATTAAATCTAGAGTTTATTTCGAATTTTTGGTCTTTCCATGCTGTCGTTTGCTTCATAAGTAGGTGAAACTCTACAGGAGTGTTGCCATTGATTTGATAGAGAAGACCTATAACTTGAGAGTTGTTTTATTACTTTTTTTTTTTTTTTTTAAGATTTGAATTTTTTTTTTCGGTAAAAATATCAATGGATCGATTTACATATAATCAAAATCAAAAAAATTTTTCTCGAAAGATTTTAAGGGTTCATTCTCACATCATCCTGGTACATTAAAAGAAATTTTAATAAATTCCTCCTTCTAAGATTTGAAGTCAGAAAATGAAAAAATTAAGCAGATCTTCTTCACTATGGGACCAGCACTTTCAAATTAAAACATTAATACTCGAGGAAAATAATAATATTTCTTTTTCTTTTTTTTTAAGATGAAGCTCTATATGTATGAAGGCTTGAAAGGTTCAATTTAGAACTTTAACACGTGATGTGGCTCCATTTGATTGGCCAAAAAATCATGTCAAGAATTTATTCTTGAAGAAGATATCTTAAACTAAAACTCCTATATGGTAATTAATTATTAGATTTCTTAAATTTTTATTTTATCCTTAAAGTATCTCAAATTTAAAAATCTAAATTAATTCTCTATTATTATATCGGATACACAAAATAAACATAGTTATTCAAAGAGTTTTCTATATATATAAGGATTCAAATTCAAAACCATTTATTTAAACGAATAAAATTTTTTTCACTCAAGCCAATTTTTTTAAGTTCCTAAATATGTTTTAAAACTATGCTTAACCAATTTAGGATATATTACTTATTAAATAAAATTAATGGGATTTTATAATGACACGTAGCATACCACGATTTGAGTGAAATTTCCTATTTCTACAGTGTATCTTCTTCTAAAATCTTAGGGTTTACCACATGCTAGCACTCTATAAGGATAATCGAGGAATTAATCTATTTTTTCGCATAACGGATTCTAGAGAATTTTTACTTGATTGAGTGACTTCAAGCTTTCCAACTATAATAATTCTTACAGGTCATGAGGTGGGCAAAGCAAGTAAAAGATTAGAGGAACAAGTGACAAAGAAGCAAAAAGCTTATTGGTCTCTGGGACCTCAGGGACATTGAGACTATCATAACTTTCCGAAACAAGATGTGGGTGAATCCATTATCACCCCTTCAAATTCTATGGCTCATTGAATTCATATACTCCTTAGTTGGCCGGCATGACGAAGAACACCAATCTTCTTCGAGTGACCCTCTTGTCTACCCTCTATTCCTCGAGGGCACATCATGCTATCGCGAATATTACCTGTGCTGGACCCCACATAAAGGGTTCAAAGACGGGATGACAGGTTGACACCTGCAAAACAGGCATGATAATGTAAAGGTAATTGGTGAACTCAATAGCGTAAGAGGGGTTATTGTTTGTTTTTATTATGGTGGGGTTGAAAAAAATTTATGTTGCTGGAGTTGTGGATTGATGTTCTTTGGTTGTGATGGTGGTGATTATGAGTGCGCCTGGCAAAGCACGCCCTCCATCCTTTGAAGCAAGAGAATATGATGATGGTTCCAACTGCACGCCCTTATTTCTCTGTCTCCAACCAAGATTTGCGTGTATTTTTGAAGAAAAGAATAGAGCCAGAATTTTCGGTAATTGTCACCCTTTCGTAATCATCACCTTTTATCCTTTTCCTTGACTCTTTTTTCCTTCGTTTTCTTTTAAAATCTACGATGCATATAGTTGCATAATTCTGGCAATTTGCCATCGTAATGCCGAATATAATACGCATGCCATCTAAGAGATATTTCCAACAATGCTTTTGAAAAATTTAAAGGCATTTTCTCTATCAATACCTTTTTTAATAGTTTCTTCTTCTTTTTTTATTTTATTGAAACGTTTTTTGTTTTTTATGAAACAGATGTTCTGTTTCTATAATAACTTAATTGGAAGGCGGAAGCGATCCTAAAATATGATACTGATTTTTATAATTACCAATTAAAACTAGGATGGACTCTAGTTATACACTGGGAATATCGTTACCGTATGTAAACAACAAGGCATTTTATTCGGGGGGCAAAAAAAAGACTGCCAAAGGTACCCATACAATTTTATGCGCCCAAATCTTATCAGGCTAGATACCCTACAGGAGCCCCACACTAGGTGTTAGAGGAGGATTTGTAGTTCTACACATTCATTCACGTAATCAATCCATACAGTAGTAGTTAGTACGTGCAAGAAGCAAAGATCATGCCATATATGAATTTATTGGCACTTTGCGGGAATGTATACTAAACTAAAAAATCGAGGACAAACTGCTAGATGTATATAACCACGCCACCAAATCAATCTTAGAAATCACACACGCTTTTCACTTTTTCCTTACTTTTGGATGCACATATTTTCGAAAATCCATGAGGATATCTTGTCCATAGCTCTCCTTTTTAGTCCTAAGGGCACACACCCACTTCGATAGATTTCCCCAGCTCTTCATACCAAAACCAAATCATAACCCTTTTCGATTTTCCTGCCACCTTCCCATTTATAATGTGTAGCGAAGCCAGCCTTTTTCTCCATCCTTCACTTACTTGCCACTTTCCTCTCTCTCTCTCTCTCTCTCACACACACTTTCTTGGCTTACTTAGAGATATAGAAGGAAAAAAAAATGGTTGACATTTCTTGCTCTAATGGCATTAGCAATGGCAATGGTGTGAATGGCAAAAGTCATTCATCGCTGAATGGTTATAGGAAGAGCTGTTGGTATGAAGAAGAGATTGAAGAGAACTTGAGATGGTGTTTTGCTCTAAATAGGTAAATATTTTTTTCTAGCTTAATCCTAATGCTCTTTAAGAGCCAAAAAATTCTTCAGCTCTTAACTTGAAAGGCTAACTTAATTTCCCATTCTATAAGAATAAGTACCACTGTATTAAAACACCTACCCTGCATTCTCGGCCACCATGATTCAAGTTCTAGGGCCCTCCCTGGCTCCCTTTGATTAAAAAAAAAAAAAAAAAATCCCACTAGTTTCTTATAATCTCTTCTTCTCTCTTTTTGGTGGCTCATTTTGTGGGGAAAAAATGTTTTATTTCTACAAATTTTATGATAGAATTCATGAGACAGTATCACAGGCGAAGCTTCATGAAACAAAAAAGAGCCAACACCTTTTTATTGTGAGACAAAGCAAAAGTACAGAATAGTCAGCAATTTTTATTTTTACAGTCTTTTTTTTTTCATCAAACGGTCTAAAGGATTTTGAGATATACAAAAAGAATATCGATCCCTCGTTCCGTGTACAAAAAAAAAAAAAAAAAAAAAAAAAAAAAGGATAGAAAGAAACTGAAGTTACTCAAATCTGCTTCAGTAAGGAAGCCATTACGCTAAGGCTATTTGTAAATATATTCTGTAACACTCTGACATGTTCCCTCTAGTCTCGTTTCAAAGGATTTGGTCCTCCTTTAAGCTTTTACACTTTACAATCTAGTAGATCGATCCGTATGAAGCTTGTCTGTTCTGGTGTTAGTATAGAGGATTTGTTAATTAGAATAAAATCAGGAAGTAACCTTAAAAGTGAAACAGTTGACCACTTATTCAGAAGGTTGGTCAGAGAAAAGCAAAACATATTTTAATTTAAAAATGGAACCAACTTTGCATCTTACCACCATGTCTCCCCTTTCCATCATCATCGATTCATTTCACATATTCGAGCATTGATTAACACTCTTTATTTTTGTTCCAGTATTCTGCATACAGGGGCTTCTCAGTATCAGGACATTGCGCTGTTAGACACAAAGCCGTTTGGAAAGGTCCATATTTAGATATAAAAAAAAGTGCTTTATTTATGTCTAGCTTAAATAATTTTATTGTATTCTATCCTATAAGATAAATAATTTTTGTTTTGCATAACAGGCTTTAGTAATTGATGGAAAGCTTCAAAGTGCAGAAGTGGATGAATTCATCTACCATGAATCTCTTGTTCATCCAGCACTTCTTCATCATTCAAGGTATTTCTTTTTTCTTTTTCTTTTTTTTTTAATGGTGCAGGATTGTAGGGTCTGTGGTATAGTCTAGCGTTGCTAAATTTGTAGTAACTATTTTTGTACATTTGGTAGCAGTCCAAAGACAGTATTTATTATGGGAGGAGGTGAAGGTTCCACTGCAAGAGAAATACTAAGACACAAGACAGTGGAGAAGGTTGTCATGTGTGACATTGATGAGGTAGTTCAAACATTCCAACTCTTTATTTAATCTCCTAATTCAAATACAAGGAATTCATAATGTTACATAGTTATCAGTTAAGCTAATTAGTGCCCACTCTTCCACTTTGATGAATCAGAATTATCACCTTTGCTTCTTTTTATTTTTTTGATTGGGTAAGGTTATCTATAATCATTAATCCCTTTTTTCTTTGTCCTCATATAGAGGGGACAATATGTTATTTTTGGCTTAGTTTATCCAAAAGACTTTCTAAAGAAAATGACTATTTATCATTATTATGTTTTTCGTTATCCTGAAGTATGAAGACAATTTCTTTTTTGGATCCTTTTTGCTTCGTTTTTTTTTCCCCTTCTTTTTGGACTTGTCGTTCAGCCACTGTATATTATGGAAAAGGGCATGTCGTTTAGGTTCACGGTCGACAATTAAAGGACTCTTCCTTCTCTTAACCATCAATTAATAATAATGTATTGATGAAAATCTCAGTTCAACCAAAACTTTTACAAATTACTTTGCGACCAAAGACCAAAGTACTTCGTTCACTGTCATGTAATATAAGGAAATGACCAGGAAAATTTTAAAGCGCGTAACACAAATCTTCTCATGGAACCTGCAGGAAGTAGTAGACTTCTGCAAGGCATACTTGGTTGTGAATAGAGAAGCTTTCTGTGATCCAAGACTTGATGTCATCATCAACGATGCCAGGTTTGAATCTCAATTCTATGTTTTTAGTTGTTATTATTAAAAAAAAAAAGGTTAATTTTTCCATAACTGTTTTCGTTTCCTTTCCGTTCTTATGTAATGTTGCAGAACTGAGCTAGAAATTGGAAAGGAGTGCTATGATGTGATAATAGGAGACCTGGCAGACCCAATAGAGGGAGGTCCATGTTACAAACTTTACACCAAATCCTTTTACGAGTACAACGTTAAGCCTAGACTCAATCAAGGTGGCATCTTTGTCACCCAGGTATTAAATATTAATCTTTTGTCTTTTTATGTGAAAGTGAGAGACAGGGGGGAAGAGGGAGCATAGAAGAAATAACCATTCATATCTTGTGAACTTTGCAGGCAGGGCCAGCTGGAATTTTCAGCCATACAGAAGTTTTCTCCTGTATCTTCAACACCTTAAGGCAGGTGTTCAAATGTAAGTAAAATGTTCGTATCTGCCAACTTGAATGTTGTTTTCTTTTGTAAACCAAGAAATCTGAAGCCAAATGGTTTTGCCAATTTCTTACCCCAATGTGCAGATGTGGTGCCTTATTCAGCTCATATCCCTTCCTATGCTGATACCTGGGGATGGGTCATGGTATTATATCCGAACAAGTTCTCTTTCTGTTTTGAAAATAAATTCACTATTTTCCAGGCTCCTGAAATCTTCTTCTAGTCTTGGGCTGATCACTTGTACAGATTTTTAGGCCTTCATTAGTGTCAATGATCAAGATTATGCAGTTTGGTCTTTTCCATGATGGTTCAGGCACTTATAAAATTTATAATTAATCGACAGGCTTCAGATACTCCATTTACGCTGAGTGATGATGAGTTAGACATCAGAATTAAACAGAGGATTAAAGGCGAGAACAGATATCTTGATGGTAAAACGTTTTCATCAGCCTCAATCTTGAGCAAAGCTGTTCGAAAATCGTAAGGCCCATAAATATTTGTCATTCTGATCCTACCCGTTTCTTTTATAATTAAGCTGTGACTAACATGGAACATTATCCAATGGCAGACTTTACGATGAAACTCATGTCTACACGGAGGGAACGGCCAGGTTCATTTATGGGCATGGCAGCGTTCACAAACATAATCAAGCCTAATTAATAAGCAATGGACTGGAAGGAGCCCCTGCCAAAAGCACAAAGTGAATTAAGAATCCAAGTGGCACATAGTTTTGAAAATTTACTCATTTTCTGTTTATCATATGTTTTTTTCTTTTTTTCCTACTAAATCGTGTATTTTCTTTCTTTTGTTTTTTTGTCTTTTTTTTTTTTTTTTTTTTTTTTGCTTGTGTAGTTACCTAATGGGATGATGATATAATCGTAATGGATGGATCTTTGCTTTTGTTTTTGTCTCAAAATTGTTTTTCTATTATGGGTAGAATTGAATCGACCACCAAGAACTAAATCATGATTACTAAAATTGCATGATTCCACTAAGTGAACAAAAATTAAATTACCGAAAAATCCAAGACGTGCATTAATTTGTCCAAGTTGCTGTTAAGAGTGGCCAGGAACATGGTCCGGAACTGGGTCCACCTCTTTGGCAATATCAACAACATTAGAAAATTTGTACCAAATCAAATAAAATCAAATAAATTAATTAATTAAAAATGAGTCATTCACTCTTTTTTAATAGAATTTAACTAGTTTCTTTTTGTCTGCAGCTACGTTATAGATTGGATAAAATATATAAAATTGTTAAAAAACAAATCATTTTAGTTTGATAATTTACTTTATAACGTGAATCTATAAAAAATATATGAAATCAAAGGTGAAAAAAATTATTTATAATTTTTTAATAAAAAATTTTGTATTCAACTATTTCTTATTTGTGTTTTTCATAATTTTTCCTTTAGAAAAAAGATTTATCCTTATTAATCCATGGATTATTAACTAAAACGAAAATTAAATAATTTTTTTAAAAAAAGCTTTAGCATTTCATAAGATTGTGTAAAAAAAAAACAATTATTAAAAACTTACATAGAATTGAACAAATATTTTTTTATTTTTATTTAATATTGAAGAGAATATTGATTTTTTTTAAATGTGAATTTAATTTTTATATATTTATTTACAAAAGAACGAATAATTGAGTGGTTAAGCCTAAACATAATTTTAATTATTTAATTTAAAATAATTTAATTTTAAAATATTCAAAAATAAATAAATAAACATTAAATGCTTAGTGTAGTATTAGCTGCATAGTTAATTCCTAAAAAATAACAATTCAATATTTTTTGTACACATCATAACTATAAAAAAATAGTGAGTTTAGAGTTTTCAGTCTAAAACAAAAAATACTATAAAAAAAGAAGAAGTTAACTTGCAAGAAATCTATTGACTAAATTTGAAGTTAATAGACTAAAATAAAAATTATTACAAATTTGATTTTGATTAATTTTGATTATATAAAGAAGAAAAAAATTAATAAAACATTTGAATTCTTTTTCTTTCTTTTTTCCTCCTCCTTAAATAATTTTTTATTTCTATACTATGCATGGGTAGTCTTTGAATACGGGCGTTACGTGCAGAGCAACCGTCTTCTTTTTATTTTTCACGTTTGACTTTCAACTATTAATTTACTAATTTGAGTTTTTTCCTAAAAAAAAAAAGAAAAAATTTGAAATACACTTTTAATCCAAATATGTATTTCAGAAAAATTATATATATTAATCATGCCACTATAATTTAAAGATTATCTAAATCTATTTTTCAAAAGAAAAAATAATGTTCTAAAAATTTATTCCAAAATTCATACATATAGAAAAATAAATCAAAATTATCAATAAATATAATTTTAAATTAATTGGATGAGAATTTTTTTAAAAATAACAAATTAAACCAATAAATTTTAAATAATAAAAATAATTAACAGAAAACACTAAAACAAAATGGGATTAAATCGTAATACAATTAAAGCTTAAAATTGAAAAAAAATGTATAAAAAAATTGAGGTCTATATAATTTTAAATTAACTGGATGAGAATTAAAAAAAAAAAGAAAAAAAGATAAATTAAGTAGTAAATTTTAAATAATAAAAATAATTAACGAAAAATACTAAAACAAAATGGGGCCAAATCATAATACAATTAAAGTTTGAAATTGAAAAAAAAAAGTCTAAAAAATCATTTTGCTTTAGTTTTTTTTTTTTTAATTTCAATTATTAAATTTATAGGATATTTGACTTTGCATTTAGGAATTTTTTTCAGTCTATGTCATTTTACAGACCTTAAAAAAAAATCTATGTCATTTTACGGACCTTAAAAAATATACTACAAGTGAAAGAAAAAAGATTTTAAAATCCAAATCATTTAACAAACTCTAAAAAATGGCTACAAATAAAAGAAAATAAATGAATATTATATAAAGTTAAGCATTCACCATGCAATATTATCAAATTTGACAAACACTAAGAGTAGGTGACATGTTCAAAGTAACTGATATAGGTTTCAAAAGACACTGGTTTGAAAATGTATTTGAAAGTTTGATTTTATTGAAACATAAACTAAAATAAAGTTTGACTTGGAAATGGATTTATTAACTGTAATGATGATTTTAATACGTTTTTCATTAATTAAAATCAAGTTTGTGAATTTATCGGTTGTTGGGATTGATATTCGAGCTCGCCTAGTGTCTGTTGAGGTTGATTTTCGAACCGTTTATTGTATTAAAAAACCATAAATTTAATATTTTGAATTATTTTATCATAATTTTTTATGTTGGAAAAAAAAACATAAATTAAACTTTCAGCAGCCGTATTAACAAGTAAATTTTTTTCAAATAAAATTTTATTTTCAACTGACGTGATAAAAAGATTAGGACAACAACAAAGATTAAATATCATCTAGGTTTCCACATGACTTAACATTAAAATTTCTGTCCAATTCGGACAACTTGTCCATTTCAACAAAGATTAAATATCATCTAGGTCATGCAACGAAGAGGAAAGAAGCGTAGGGCTCTGGATGAGAAGGAAATAACAGACAGTCGGTCAGGTGGGCCAACATTCTGGATTACAAACCCCGTTTGCTCGTTTTAGCAAAGCAAGCTTTGTACCAGATATGCTGCCACTAACATCAAGAATTCTAACGAGATCAACTAGAGCACGAGAATATTGAAACGATTGTAGCGATTCAGCATGATTCTGGTTCCTATTCTGTCTTCCACTTGTGAGAGGAGCCTTGAGATGGATTAACATTGTGAAATTATCATAACAGACTGATTTTGGAACTGCTGAAACTTCTGTATATGTTTTCACCTCTATCGTTCTCATAGAATTAAAATCACCAGCATCTTTAGTAGATGCGTTTCCCTCAGCAGTCTCATGTTGAGGATCTAAGCCTTCATCATCACCAAAGATAACTGGTTCGTTGACTTGATAAAGTGATGAAATATGCATGTTTGCATCTGTTCGAGCAGGAGGAGGAAGTCTTAGAACAGTTATCCAACCAGGGCCAACCTATCACACTCATTGTAACGCCGTCAACCGAGACACTTTATCCGAACGGTAATGACTGAATGAATCGATACTAAAACTTATATCTTTTTAATTTTTTTTAAAATTAAGTTCCTAATTTAATATTATTTATGATTAAATATGTTAATTAATAATATATAACAATAAGATTTTCTCATTAACATAACGAAACGTTATTCTATTTTTTCATAATTTATAAAAATATTTCTCATCATAATTAACATTCATAAATAATCTTGTCTTAATACTCATACTCAAATTCTAATTAAAAATTCTCAACATTCATAAATTTAACGTTCTTACATTTATTTTTTAAAAAATAAAGGTTCATTTAAAACATAACCATAACTTAATCGTTAAAGACATGCAAAGGCGGCACATGAGTCACTAGTCATCGGGAGCAAGCATCAACATCCTCAACATTTGCATCATTACCTACACCACGTAACGGACGTGAGATACAAATATCTCAATAATCGTAAAATGTATAATTTTACATTAAAACTTTTTGTACATAAATGTCTTCAAAATTCTTTTCCTCATTTGGGCTTGGTAGAAAATACTAAAATCGGTTAGCAGTGGTCTAGCCTCAATAAAAATATACATAAAAACATTAACCTCAACCTTTAAACATCAACGTTTATGTCTCGATAGGCAACCTCAACCTTAAAACCTCAATAAGCATTCAAAAATAACCTCATTCGTTTACTTAAAATATATTTTTTTCAATCAACATGTAAAACATATGTATGCATATAAATGCACCTCAAAACCATCACATCACGTCGATCACATAAAAATAAATAGCATTTACGTTTATGGTATAGGTGAGTTACATTTACTTGATTTGCTTAAGACCATCATTTATTGTAAACTTTCTCTAAAAAAATCGATACTACGACTTGATTCAATACCCGAACATACACACCATGTAACATAAGAATTTGAATTTTATTATTTTATCTCTAATAATTTAATTTTTATTAATTCCTATTCCTTTCTTGCAATTTCTTTTAAATTAAAAACCTTAATTAAATCATCAACTCTAATCTAATTTATTCAATTCTTTAATTATATTCATATAATCTATGTTATTAAATTTTAACTTAAAATTTTCAATTCTTATTTAAATGCACTTAATCATCAAATATTCTCTAAAAAAAATTAAGATTTTAATACTAAAATATAATTTTTACATAATCAATCCTATATCATGAAATTTCCAACTCAATTCTACCTTAAATCATATAAAAAAAATAATTAAATTAAATATTTTTCTTACCTTGAATAGTTAATCACCAAGACTTGAATCTTTTTCTAAATACTTTTGACTTCACTTTTTACTCAATTGTATTGTCTCTCTCTCTCTCTCTCATTTTGAAGTATAAGCTTATGAAATGACATTTCCTAAATGAGGAGAATGGCACCCTATATATAGGCATGAGAAGTTAAAACATTTAGAAATTTTAAATGCATGAATTAAAAATAATGAAAGGCCACTAACTTTTTTCTTTTATGACCACTAAATGGCTTTCTTTCATGGCCACTAACCTTCTTCTTTTATAACTACTTTCTTTTCTTTCATGACCATTAAAAAAATTTTATGACTACCATTCATTTCTCCTCTTTAATTTTAATATATGTTTCAAAAATTTTGCTCTCCTTTCATAGCCACTAATATTCCATTAAAAAAAAGCTATTAAAACTTATTATTATTATTATTCTTTAATTCCTAATAGCTTAAGCTAAGATTGTAGGACTAGTTCCTATCTATAAAAATACGATCTATAAAACCCAAAAATATATATTATATCCTAAAACTTCATACCTAATCATCACATCCTTTAAACATATAAAAATATTAAATTGAATACACAAATAAAGCACATTTGTATACATATATACACAATATATTATCATGTAAAGTTTTTGGGTATTACAACCCTTCCTCCTTATAAAAATTTTATCCTCAAAATTTATGTATTTTACAATTCAAGATATCTTGTCTTTATCTCTTCTTCTTATTCCCACGTGGCTTCTCCAATCTTGTGATTTCTCCGTAACACCTTCACTAATACCACTTCTCTGTTCTTTAACCTATTTATCTCTCGATTTAATATCTATATCGATCTCTTTTCATATGTTAAATCTAAAGCTAACTCTATCGGTTCTACCATCAATACATGATTTAGGTCATTCACATATTTTTTTAACATTAATATATGGAAGACGTTATGGACTCTCAATAGAGATGGAGGGAGAGCCAATCTCCGTGCTTGGTTGCTTATCCTATAAGAATCTTATAAGATCCGATGTATTTAGGACTCAATTTTCCCTTCTTCCCAAATTGCATCACCCCATTTATTGTCGCTACCTTAAGAAACACAATGTTACCAACTTTAAACTCCAAATCCCTTCTCTTCGATCGGTGTAACTTTTTTACCTATTCTGATTTTTTTTCATTTTTAACCTTATCTTCTCCATCACCTCGACTGTTTGTTGGACTATCTTCGATCTTAACAATTTCCTCTCACCTACCTCATCCTAATGAACCGTTGATCTACACCTCCTTCCATATAATGCCTCATAAAGCGACATTTTTATACTTGTCTCGGTAACATTATTATTGGCAAATTCTACTAGTGGAAAATATTTTTTTCATTTACCCGATAAGTCAAGTACACAAGCCCTTAACATGTCTTCCAACACTTGTATCACCCTCTCCGACCGCCCATCAATTTAAGGGTGAAAAACGAGTACTAAAATTTAGCCTAATACCTATTACCTCAATCAAACTCTTCCAAAAATTCGAGGTGAACCTTGGATCCCTATCGGATATAATCGATATGGGTACTCCATGTAACCTTATTATCTCCCTCATATACAATTCCGCATATTGGGTCATATTGAAGGTTGTCTTCATTGGTAGAAAATGAGCGGACTTCGTTAATCTATCTACAATGACCCAAATGGAATTAAATCCCTTTTATGACCTTGGTTATCCCACTATAAAATCCATAGTTATGTGCTCTCATTTTCGTTTAGGTCTTACCAAAGGTTGTAAGAAACTTGATCATCTTTGATGCTCAATCTTTACCTGTCGACAAGTCAAACATCTAGCTATATGATTCGTTACATCCTTCTTCATTTCTATCCACCAATACACTAATTTTAAATCTTAATACATGGTATTACTAGGATATACTAAATAAGGAGTCGAATACACCTCACTTAAAAATGCTTCTCTCAAATCCTTATCCTTCGACATAGATAACCTATCCGTGCACGTTATTACCCTATCATCATCTACTATAAAATCTAGTCTTTTTCCCACCTTTATTTCTTTCTTCACCCTAATCACCTCATCATTAATTAACTATCTACTTTTGATTCTAGACCTCAAATCCGACTCTATTACTAAAATCGATAGCCTACACTCACATCCCTTCGTATCACCTCTAGATTAAGCTCCTCTAGGTCCCTCAAAATACTTGTCTATACTACTTCTATTACCGCCCATGTTTTTCTACTTAAGGCATATGCTACTACATTTACCTTCTCCGGATGATAATACAATACATAATCATAATCATATGATATAATCAAAATCATCTAATACCACTAACCCTCTCATTTGTCTCATGTTTAACTCTTTCGAATGAATAAGTATTTAAGACTCTTATGATCAGTATAAATCTCACCTCTCACCCCGAACAAATAGTGTCTTTAAATTTTAAGTGTAAACACCACTCGCTACTAACTTTAAATCATGCATAGGGTAATTCTTCACCTAGTCTTTCAATTGTCTTGAGGTATAAGCTCTAACTTTTTCCTCTTGCATTAATATCACCCTCAATCCTATCTTAAAAGCATCTATGAACACCACAAAGTTTCCCTAACTAATAGAGTCAACCCGGTTGTAGTAGCCAACCTTTGTTTCAACTCTTAAAAACTCACCTTGCACTCATTTTCCCACTCAAATCTAATATTTTTCTTAGTTAGCTTCATCAATCGAGCGACTAACTTCGAAAAGCCCTTCTCAAACCTTCAATAAGTACCTAGCTATTCCTAAAAAACTCCACACCATATACACATTTCTAGGTTGTCTCTAATTCCGAACTACCTCAGCCTTACTTGAATCTACTCGTTATCCCATCCTTCGACACTAAATGACCTAAAAAGCTACCTTACTCAATCGGAATGCACACTTCTGAACCTTAAATATAGTTAGTTCTTCTTTAATGTTTTCAATATGATCCTTAAGTGCTCTACTTGTTTTTCTCTCGTTCTTAGAATAAACTAGAATATCATTAATAAAGACAATGAGAAACATGTCTAGATATTTATGGAACACTCAATTCATGAGGTCCATAAAAGCTTAAAGAGCATTTATGAGTCCGAAATGCATCACTAGAAATTCATAGTGATCGTACCTAGTTCAAAAAGTAGTCTTTTTTACATTTCCTTCCTCAATTCTCAACCGATGGTACCCCCGATTGTAAATCGATCTTAAAGAAAATCGATGTCCTCATGAATCGATTAAATAAGTCATCAATATGAAAGAAAGGTACTCGTTCCGAATTGTTAATCGATTCAAACCTCGATAATCTATGCACAGACCTCAATGTCCTATCTTTCTTATTTACAAACAATATTGGTGCACCTCACGGTGAACAATTTGGCCTTATATACCTCTTATCTAATAACATTTATATTTGTTCCTTCAACTCTTTCAATTCTACCAACACTATCCTATAAGGAGCCTTAGAAATGAAAGCAGCTTCTAGCTTTAGCTTTGTCTCAAAATCAATCTTACTCACTAGTTGTAACCCTTTTAACCCATATAAAAGTACATCCATAAACTCTCTTACTATCTTGATATCCTCTAGTTTTTTCTTCCTCTTTTTACTAGTATCTACTATATTAGATAGATATCATGTGCTTTCATTCTCTACCATCCTTTATGCTTTTATAGTCGACATCATTAATACCGACCTCATATTCTCACTCGTCTTAAACTCTAAGGGCTTTTCGCTAGGTGGTTAGAATGTTACCACCCTTCGCTCTATAATCAATTCTAATTCCATACTTTGACAAATAATTCATGCTAGTATTATATCAAAATCCTTAATACTAAGCACTATTAAGTTTATTTTTATTGATCTCTCTCCCATCATTAAGTTCATTTTTATTGATCTCTCTCCCATCACAAACTCACATCCCCTTACCAAGTCCTTAGACTCCATTATATCCCCGGATGGTAACATTATGTCATAAATAGATTCTAATATTTCAGATTTCACACCTAATCTTCTTACTAAAGATCTTGAGATAAATTAGTATGTTGCTCTTAAATCTATCAAAGTATATGCAATGAGTCTAGAGATAAATAAGTTATCATAAATTACTACTACATCATTCCGTTTGGCTCGTTCTTGGGTGAGGGTATACACTCGAGTCGCTACCCTCCGATTGTCTCTAGTTCTCTTAGGATATTGATTGGTCATATGCCCCGACTCTTTACACCGGTATTAGGTGTTAATACCCACCAAATAGTTTCGAGGTGCATCCTTCAACACTTAACGCATACAACTCTATTAGCTTCATTCTTTTTCGATGTAACATCACCTCCCTTAAGTTTTTTAATCCTAGATAACTCCCGACCTTCATAAAAAAGGTAGGCCTCGGCCTTTTCATTTGAAGTTCTTATACAATCTTTTTTTATCCTCTTCGACTATCAATGCCCGACTAACCATGTCATTATAAGTATCAATATAAGCAATAACTAATATATATATATATATATATATATATATATATATATATATATATATATATATATATTAAAAATTTAATTTATTAAAATAGAATAGCCTTACACGTATAATCCTAAAATTAATTATTGATAACAATTAATTGTCAAAATTGTATATTTACATCGCATCCGTTCAATTTACTAAATATTGTTTAATCTTTTAAAATTTTTCATTTTTATGATAATTTGAATTAGATAATAATTTTTTACTAATTTTTACACAAAAAAGTATAGAGAGATATTACATATATGTATCTTTATTTATAAAAATGATGATTCAATAAAGAAAATAAAATTTATAGTTATGAAAAAATAATAATTTGAATTTGATCTGTAAAATGTTTCATCAATCCACAAGACACAAACTTACTTGGGAATATTTATTTGAAAATATAAAATGATAAATAAATAGTATATTACAAAATAATCCCTATGAATCGTGTACTTAATTTTAAATAACTCTAGAGAAAAATAAAATAGCTTATGGTGGTTTTTGTTAGAGAACCATCTCAATCCAAGATTTTTATCAAAGAACTATCTCAATTGAACAAGTTAAACTATTAGGTGAGACCTCAAAATAAAATGATGTGGTAGGAATCGAACTCTTTATCGTTAGGTTAACAAGGTTTTAATTATACTATATCAAAAAATCATTTCAATCTAAAAATTAAACTCGTTAGATATGGTCTATGAATGGTTTTATATTAATCTCTCGATAGTTTTATACTTAATTTAATGAATATTTTTTATTAAAAATATAATATTTAAAAGAACTAGCTAGTGTTAAAATATATATACATGATGTGTATGAAGTATGCATATGTGTGAAAATGCATAGGATGCATTACGGGAGGAATAAACCGTAGTCGATTGTAACTAACCTTGTACAACATATGTTTATTCAATGACTCGTTCATACAAACCTAAAGATTGCAATAGTTGTCACTTGTCGATTGATCCAAGAAGTTGGGAGAATAAGTGCACCTCAAGACCTAGAGTAGTTAATGATTGGCATATAAGAAATAGTAAAGTTAGGAATCTAGTTTTTTAGTTTTCTTTGTAAAGCTCTAGAATGTACATTGCTAGTATATAAAACTAATGACGAGTATAATGTAAAAGTATGATTTTCATATCATCAATGAGAAGAACATTTTCTTCCTTTCTTTCTACATTTTAACACGGTATTAGAGCCAATATTTTTCTCGCTAAAACTTAAAAAAAAAATATCTTCTCTATAATCATGAACATAGAAGAAAACTTAAGAAACAACATAACCACTATTGATTTCACAAACCCTCTTCACATCCATTCTTCGATACACCGAATTTAGTATCGTTTCTAAAAGAACTAGAGCTTAAAGGCATGGAGAACTATGGTATATGGCCTAGAGCTATGAAGATCTCTCTTGAAGCAAATAAAAAATATGGTTTTGTTGATCGAACTTATGAAAAAACTAGATCCAACCTCACTTATGCATACATATTAGGTAAGATGTAATGCTATAGTGTTTGTTTGGCTCTTGAATATAGTATCACAAGAAATTTACAATGCTATGGTCTACTACAAATCCGCAAAAATGGTATTGAAAGATCTTAAAAAAAGATTTGACAAAGTTAGTAATGCTTAAATGTTTGTTATCCATAGAGAAATCTCACACATAATGTAAGGTACTCTTTCCGTGTCAACATACTACTCAAAGCCGTAAAACTATGGGATGAATTTGAAACTTTAGTGACATTTTCAAGTCGTGACTCGTCTATGTTCAAAGTTATATCTAAAACACACACAAGCACCTCAAAACGTTGCAAATGTGAGAGCACAAATCCTTATGATAATGTCGTTACCTACACACACTCAAGCCTTTTCTATAGTAAGCGATGAAGAATCTCAAATGGCTATATCCAATAATGTTCAAATTAATAAAACACCAACAAACTTTTACTCTAATAATCAACGAAAAAATAAAAATGTTAGCAAGAAAGAAACCGTTACAATGTGACTATTGTTAAATGACAGGACACTTGAAGAAAGGTACTCTCTATGTGTCAACATACTACTCAAAGCCGAAAACTATGGGATGAATTTGAAACTTTAGTGACATTTCCAAGCTCGTGATCGTCCAAGTTTAAAGTTATATCTAAAACACACATAAGCATCTCAAGACGTTGCAAATGTGAGAGCACAAATCCTTATGATAATGCCGTTAACTACACACACTCAAGCCTTTTCTATAGTAAGTAGTGAATAATCTCAAAGGGCTATATACAATAATGTTCAAATTAATAAAACACCAACAAGCTTTTACTTTAACTATCAATGAAAAAATAAGAATATGAGCAAGAAAGAAACTATTAATTGTGACTATTGTCACATGATAGGACACTTGAAGAAAGATTGTTACAAACCGATGGGCTATCCAAGCACACCAAGAAGAGGTTGAAGAAGAGGAGGAAGAAGACCATATGGTAGAGAAAATGGAAGGAGAAATTATCAAGCAAACCAGTCTAGCTATGGAGTGGTAGAGTATGGTAACTTAGATTCAAACAAGGGAGATCAAGCAAGCCAAACAATGGGAAGTGCACTAGTGTTTACACAATAGCAATACAATCATATTATACGATTACTTGGAGCAGAACTCGACACTAGGAAAGGATTAACATCAAGCCAACCTTTAGCAAATGTTATAGGTATCTTTACTTACTATACAAATACAATAAATGACTATTTCGAAGAAATTAGGTGATTTTCATTAGAGCTAATGAACACATGTCCTGTGAGTTAGATAGTAATGTATGAAATTCTAATGTTGCTTCAAAACATCTAAAAGTCCAACTCGCCAAATGGTAAATCATCCCAAGTGACACATACAAGCACTATACCTTTATCCCCCGAAGTTAAGCTAACCAATGTGCTACACATACCATATTTTAAATTTAACCTATTATCCATTTCAAAATTTACTAAAGAGAAACAATGTTTTGTAGCATTTTACCTTGATTTCTATTTATTTCGGGACCTCAAGACTGGATTGATAAAGGAGATTAGTAGGATTTAAAATGGACTATATTACCTTAAGATAGAAACACTTTCACATGATCATTTATCATAAATCCTTAAGTCTCAACAAAACATAAATTCTCATATTTCTTCCTCTCATGTCAAGCCGCTTCCAAAGCATCAAGTAATAATGTTTTTCAATCAAGTTATAATACAATCTCTAAATTAATAAAAAGCAAGTATTTGGCATATGGGATTCGGACATGCTAAAAACCTAAGACTCAAGTTTTTACCATCCTTAAAAGATATATATATATATATATATATATATATATATATATATATAAGCATGAAGAAACACAATGCACTATCTCGTCCACTAGCTAAATTAACTAGATTGCCTTTTCTCACAAAAAAAACAAAAAAAAAAAGACACATTTGAATTGCTACACCTTGACATTTAAGGACCCTATAGAACACCTACACACAATGGAGCCAAATATTTTCTCACAATAGTAGATGATTACTTAAGAGGGGCATGAGCATTCTTACTAAACTTCAAAAGTGATGCCAAGACCACTATCGAAACTTTTTCCAACTTATCAAAACTCAATTTGCCCAAACCATCAAGAGAATTAGAATAGATAGAGCAAGAGAATTTTTGAATCATGAATGCAAATAATTTTTAAAAGAACAATGAGTTATTCATGAGAGTACCATACTTTATACACCATAACAAAATGAAAGGATTGAAAGGAAACACAAACACGTACTTAATGTTGCTAAATCTCTTATATTTCAATCAAATGTGCCAATAGAATCTTAGGGAGATTGCATTTTAACCGCTATATATTTGATAAACAGAGTTCCTACTCCACTCTTGAATTACAAAACTCCTTATGAAATAATTTTTAGGAAAACACCTAGGATAGATCATTTGAGAGTTTTTGGGACTCTTTGCTATGTCAATGCCTTGAATAATTCCGACAAATTCAATCAAAGATCAAAACCATGCATATTTGTTGGATATCCTTTTAGACAATCACGTTATAAGGTTTATGACATGGAGTAAAAGAATTTTTCCGTGTCTAAAGATATATTATTTTATGAAAATGTATTTCCTTTTGAGTTAAAAACAAAAGATTTAACTCAAAATCAAAACTACTTCAATAATTTTCTCGTTTGATGAATCGGTTCTAGTGTCAAATTCCCAAACCATATCTTTTGATATCATTACACAAACACCAGCTCACTCAACAACCAAACATTTTTTTCCAAACCGAAACATAAGATTCTTCATCTTTTTCACTCGAACATGATCCACAAAATGAATTGAATCTTAGAAGATCTACTAGGATAGCCTAACCACCAGTTTGGTCAAGTGACTATCAATGTCTTACAAATTCTTGGAAGCAACTCGATCAAGACAAGAAAGAAAACCAGCTTATCCCATCATAAATTATGTCACTTATGAACACTTAACACCTATATTCAAAGCCTATATATCAACCTTAGCCAATGTTATAGAACCAAACAATTACCATGAGGCTAAAAAGGATCCTAGATGGGTTGAAGCTATGCAGAAAGAAATGTAGACACTTAAGCTTGATAGGACTTGGGTTCTAATGACATTGCCAAAGGGAAAGAAACCAACGGATGAACAAGGTAAAGTTTGATTCAAATGGAAGCATTAAAAGATACAAGACAACGCTATTTTCCAAGGGATACACTCAAAAATAGGGAATTGATTACAAAGAGAGTTTTTCACTAGTTATCAAGATGATAACAATGAGGTCTCGTGATTGCTTTAATCGCTATCAAAGGTTGAAGACCGATAGAAATGGATGTAACAAATGCATTTCTACAAGGAGACTTAAATGAAAACGTATATATGACAATTTTAGAAGATTTTGAAGTTAAAGGGGAGCGAGAAAGTATGCAAGTTACTCAAGTTATTATATGACTTAAAACAAGCTAGCAGACAATGGAACACCAAGTTTTATAAGGCTATGTTATAAGCGAGGATTCAATCAATCACTTAATGATTATTCTTTCTTTATGAAGAAGAATGGTGACAAAATGATTATCTTACTTGTATATATAGATGATATAATCATCACGAGAAGTGACAATGAAGAAATAACGATACTCGAAGAGTTTCTTGCATAGGAAATTTCATATAAAAGATCTTGGTGACTCGAGATACTTCTTAGTGATAGAGATAGCAAAACCAAATGAAGGAATATGCTTAACATAAAGAAAATATATCCTAGAACTACTTGAAAAGACTGGGATGATCAATGCATAACCTCTAGACACACCTATAGAATATCACTTAAAGCTTACTACAATAGAGTTTGATGAAGGGTCCAAGAAAGAAATGGGGGATCAAGAGATAGCATATCCTACGAGCTATCAAAGGCTCATAGGAAAAGTCATCTATGTGAAAATCAACGGACTAGATCTTTCCTATAGTGTGCGACTCTTAAGTCAGCTTTATGTATAGGCCAAAGCAATCTCATTTAACGAGTAGCTTACGGTGGTTCTAAGATACCTAAAAAGAGATCCAAGAATGGGATTATTAATGTCATCTACAAGTCGGCTAAAGCTAGAAGTATACCGTGACTCGGATTGGGCATCATGTTGCATGACTAGGAAATCAATTTCAGGATTTCTCATCAAACTAGGAGATTATACAATATCATGGAAGACAAAAAAGCAAAGCACCATTTCTAGATCATCAACTAAATCGGATTATAAAGCCATGACAAATGCAGTATGTGAAATCATGTGGATAGTAAGACTATTTGAAGATTTGGGCAAAGAAAATATGAAGCTATTAACATTATTTTATGACAACAAATCAACCTTATTCATATCCAAGCAATCCAGGTTTTCACAAAAGAACAAAACACATAGATTTGGATTGTCACTTGGTAAGGGAGCAACTTAACAAAAGTTTACTTGTCACACAACACATATTTACTAAAGAACGACCAATAAACCTTCTTACAAAGGATCTCAACAGACAAACAACACAAGCATTTATTAAGCAAGTATGGGATTAGAAACATATATATTAACCTCAAACTTAAGGGGAAGTGTTAAAATATATATGCAAGATATGTATGAAGTATACATGTATGTGAAAATGCATGGTGAAAATGCATGGGATGCATTATGAGAGGAATAAAACATAATCGATTGTAACTAACTTTGCACGAGTTGGTGTTTGTTACAATGACTATATCACGCAGACTCGAAGATTGCAATAGCCGTCACTTGTCGATTGATCCAAGAAGCTAGTACACTTTAGGACCCGCAGATAGCCAATGATTGGCACATAAAAAATTACAAAGTTAGGAAATCAGTTTTTAGTTTTCTTTATAAAGCTCTAGAATGTACATTAATAGTATATAAAGCTAATGACAATAGAATGTAAAAGTATGATTTTCATATCATCAATGAGAATAACATTTTCTTCCTTTCTTTCTACGTTTTAACAGCTAGCATATATATTGTTTGAATCTACAAATTAATTTGTTTTTTAGTTTTTGCCGTCCTTCCTAAGAAACTCTAGCTTTGCTACAGGTTATAATAATGGAAGACCAACACACCTGCAGGCTGCACCACTAACAAATAAAAATACGAAATTCTGGGTGATCAATTAATATTAAAAAGTTTTAAAACTAATCCGTATTCATAACTCTGGTAACCAACATTCCAACAAGTTGTCCTATTCTATAATAACCTTATCATACTCTCCTTCCTTTTGTAGGAATTACGAGTCCAATCGACTAAAAGAAAATTGAAGTTTTAAAATCAAAATAAGGTGAAACAGGATTAACTTAGATGGTGTAAATATTTTCGTTGACCCTCGTACCAAAAAAAAAAAAAAAAGTGAAAGTAAGGCATCCACAAAACCTAGTCATATGTAAATGAATGTGAAACTAATCAGAAAGCTTAACGAAATTTGCTTCCTTAATCATGACTAACGTCAAGAACTACGCATGTAAATTTGACCAACATGTTACTTAATTATGTTATTATGTTTCTCTCTCTCTTTTCGATCCACCTTTAAGAAAATCCATTTCAGTTTGAAGATAATGAAGAAAAGTCCGAAAGTATGTCTGTTGATAGAACTATGCGGTAAAGCCGCCCCTTAATTAAAATGGGTTTAAATTAAAAGCATATGTAAGTGTTCCTTGCATGTTAATATATCTGACCGCAAATTGCTGCAGACAAAAAGACAAACGCGTTGATGAACAGTAATGTTTTATGCATAGGCTCTACCTAGCTAGCTAGTCTATATATATATAGATGTGGATACAAATTCGGTGAATCTAAAAGTTGCATGCTAAGTAAAAATATAAATAAGAAGCTCATTTGAAACTACTGAAATGTCAGTGACTTTTGATTCTTTGAAATATAGATTTTTTTTATTATTATTATCAACAGGCTAGACACAAGTTGGTAAAACATCAATGACTTTGACCATATATATATACACACACACGAGTTAAAA